TTCAAAACATCTGCTCATTATAAAAATTCAAAATTCCCAAAGCATGTTTTACTTCTTAAAAATGGATTCTGCAATGTCTTGATTTTCATTGATAGACAATCAGCTTGTTGATAGACAATGTCTTGATTTTCATTGAAACAGACCCATGCTATTCCTGCCTCTCCATTTTTGCACTTCCATGCTCCATCTACCACACATGTATATAACTGGAAAACCAAAAATTTAAGAACACAGTTTTTAAACACACAAAATGAAGACACAGAAAATTTAAGAACATTGATTTTGTTTTTTTTAAACACACACACAAATTTTATGAACACTGATTGTATTAACAAATAAATCAAACTAATAATTTTTTTTTTCTCATTTCTGAGTTTTAATTTCCAGAGCAGTACATCCTGACTGGTTGTTTATGCTATTGTTTCCATTTCCTATTGAACAGTTATTTATGCTTTGGCCATTCAGAGGCTCTGTTTGGATCAATAATTTGAGGGAGGGATTTTGTGATGAGAAGAAACAAAAATGAAGAGAAAAATGACTGAAATAGAAGTTAAATCTCTATCTGAATATTGGATTGGTTGTAAAAAAAAATAAAAAATAAAAAATAAGTAAATAAACTAACACTGAATTTTATTTTAAACAACAAGCACACAAAATTAAGTAAACAAACAAATTTAATTTTAAAATACTGAATTTATACACAAAAAAAAAAAGCTTAAAAAAGTGAGATGAGAAAAAATCCCAAACTGTTTAAGAACATTGAATTATTGAAGAACATTGAATTTTTTAAACACACACCAAAAATTTAAGAACACAATTTTTAAACACACAAAATGAAGACACAGAAAATTTAAGAACATTGATTTTGTTTTTTTTTAAACACACACAAATTTTATGAACACTGATTGTATTAACAAATAAATCAAACTAATAAATATTTCAATTTCCTATTTCAGTTCCAAGCTTTGCGAGCTATGGTGCAGGCCAATCCACAAATTTTGCAGGTTCTTATCCGCCACTCTGCAGCCAGTCTTTTTGTTTGTCCATCTAACATTTAAAAATGTGAACATTTTATTTTTCATTTTTCTTCTGAAAAAAAAAAGAAGAAAAAAACCCACCCTAAACAGCCTCAGTTACTCTTCTTATTGACAGCCTATGCTTCAGGAGCTAGGGAAGCAAAACCCTCACCTGATGAGGCTTATTCAGGAGCACCAGGCTGATTTTGTTCGCCTGATCAATGAACCTGTTGAAGGTGGAGAGGGGTGTGTTCTCTGGTTGGTTATATTCATTTAAATGATAGTTATGAATGTTCACGGTCCTAATTTGCTGTTAATATGTTATCAGTAACGTACTGGGACAGCTTGCTGCAGCAATGCCACAGTCTGTAACAGTTACACCTGAGGAGCGTGAAGCCATAGAATGTGTAAGTATTGCCTTTTCCTAATTTTTATTTGAATTTAGATGTGTTTAGTGTGGTGGTCTTGAAGTGATCTTTTGATAGGGGTTTTTTTCCCAATACCTATGAATTCTATTGGATCCATAACTATACATTGGAAGACTCCTTTGGATCTCCTAGAAATATATCCATCCCTGACCCCTCACATCAATTCCATGATCCTCTTAATCCTTTCTCATTCGAGTCCAACATCTGTTGGAATTGATACTTTGGATCCAGTTAGATAATATTTTGTAAATTTTAATTTTTTGTCAATTGTCCTTTATGTAAGCCACTTTATTTATTTGCATTTTTTTTGTCCAACTCATGTTTTTTGTTGTTCAAAAGTTTGACTTTTGTATTAGATGCTTGCTCTATTATTAGAATCTTGCGGTTTGCGATTCAGGTCATGATTCGATTTGCAAACCATGCATATATTGATACAAATCTATGGGTGAATCTATTATTAGAATCTTAATTGAATGTTTTGGTGGTCATTGGTTATGTTAAAGGAATAGTTTTGGTGGATATAGCAACCATGGTTTAAAGGAATATTATGAAAATATTCAAAGTTTGATTTTTTTATTTTGTATTCAAACAACCTGCCTTATTTTTACAATCTGCTTTATTTTTTGTATTCAAACAATCTGCTCTATTTTTATTTTGTATATGGAAAGTATTTTTTCTGAGTTCTAAGGTACGGAGATAAATAAGGATTATAAGATTTACGTGGTGTGAATGCAACTGATTTTTGTGTTTGGAAAAAACTCTGGGAATCTTGAATTCCCTCTAAATGGGCAGTATTTGTGTGGATGTGTCTTCATAATATAGTATCTGTGAGATGATAGTTAAAGATAAGAGATATTCCCAATCCAATGTGATTGATTTGCGAATGCGGCCAAAACCATTGAACATCTCTTTTTTCAATGTCATGTATCACAAAGAATTTGGAGAGGCACTTCTAGGGGCTTGGACTTTACCTGTGGCCACCCAGTTTGCTTTAAACATGGTGGATCAATTGGGTTACAATGATTAAAGAAGAGGACATGATTGTTCAATCTATTGCCTTGCTATGGGCAATTTGGAGGCAGCGAAATAGTGTGGTCTTCCATAATGAAAAGATGACAATAGAGCAGAACTATTTCAATTGCTAATGAGATTCATCAACATTGGACTAACTGTGCATTCATGTTTTCCAATGATAATATCTTAGAATGTCTTACTGATATCTTTGGAAAAAGATGGAAATACAGAGAATTGTGGTCTTCTTGCTAATAACCTATCTTTAAATTCTGTTTTCTAGTTATATACGTGTGGTAGATGGAGCATGGAAGTGCAAAAATGGAGAGGCAGGAATAGCATGGGTCTGTTTCAATGAAAATCAAGACATTGTCTATCAACAAGCTGATTGTCTATCAAAGAAAATCAAGACATTGCAGAATCCATTTTTAAGAAGTAAAACATGCTTTGGGAATTTTGAATTTTTATAATGAGCAGATGTTTTGAAGATGTTTTATAAAAATGAAGTGCAGTAAATTTGAATTAAAAAATGGAGCAGATGTTTTGAACAAAAATTATAAAAACATCTGTAATTTTGATTTTACAGATGTAATTTTGAGCAGATGTTTTGAACAAAAATGGAGTAATGTTGAAAATGGAGTAATTTTGAACAAAAATGGAGCAAATGTAATTACTGCACTCAATTTTGATGATGTTTTTGTAAAATTACTGCACTCCATCTCATTAATTTTTGATTTCAAAATTTTAATTTTTGAATTCAAAACATCTGTTTTATAAAAATTCAGAATTTATTAATTCAAAATTTTGAAGTAATATTACTTTGGGAATTTTGAATTTTTACAAAAACATCTGCTCATTTTTAAAACATCTGATCAAAAATTACTGCATTCCATGTAATATCCATTTTTATAAAACATGTTTTTATAAGAAGTAAAAATTACTTCTGTTCAAAATTACATCTGTTTATAAAAGTATGTTTAAAGCATCTTTATAATGAGCATCTGTTTATAACATATGTTTTTGAGATGATAAGTAATATCTCAAAGCATCTTTATAAAACATATTTTTGTAATCTGTCAATAAATAAAAATTTATTAGTGACAACATTTTTAAAGTAGAAAAATTGTCAGTAAATCTAATTTGAGGGGTGCATTAAGTATTAGATCCAAGCTTTGGTCTTTGTTGTTTATAAAGGCTCATGTTTGTTTTTCTTATGTAGTTAGAATTTGATTGGCAGCAGTAATACTAACTGGTGTGTATTTTAATTTTAATTTCTTTTAAATTACAGAGTACTGGTTGGTGTGCATTATTAGATATTTATTATTATTATTTTTTTATATATTTGATTTGTTTTGAATTGTAGAGTGTAGTCTATTAAATATATTTTTATAATTACATTTTTATCTTAAATTTAAATAGTATTGCGATTACAATTATATTATAATCCTAACATTATTTACACCATGCCTTCAGGCACGGGTATACGCTAATATATATATATGTGAAATGTTAATAAAATATACATATTTTTTACCTAATTTTGTATACTTTTTCTTTTATCATTTTCAAATTTCTTCCTAAACCCATAAACTAAAACACAGCTTAAGAACTCCCAATTCATCCTCCAAACTTCTTCACCATGAAACACCAAAACAGAGACACTCAATTCAGGGTAGTATAAATTATGGAGGTAGACAAGTCAAAATTATTCGGAGTAGAAAAAATTATATCATTATAATAATCAAATTTAAAATTAAAATTCATACATAAAATTTAAAAAAATCCGAGCCGTTACGATCCCTAGTTACAAGTACACTAACCTCGTGAGCATTTTTTTGAAGGACAACAATGATGCAGAGGTTGAGTCTGAAACCCACTAACTAAAGCAGGTGAAGAGGCCAAAAGAGGTTCCCTGTTACAGAGTTGTAAATACGAGCTTATGGGTGTTTGGAAAGTTGTTATTTTAATAAGTTATTTTAATTTTTTATTATTTTAGTAGGTTAAAATTCTTGTGTTTGGGAAGATGATTGAATTTTTTTTAAATTAAATATGATGTTTGTGAGAGGAAATGTGAAATGATTATGAATTTGATGTGATATTTTGTCTTATTAGTTATTTTAGCCTATTTTATCTTTTTTTAGATTTTAGCCTAAAAGAGGCTAAAATCTTTCTTTCCAAACACCCCCACGCTTTTGATAAAATTCTTTAAAATGAACTATTATTTTATATTAGATTTAACTTGTATTGACATTGAATTTTTTTCGCTTATTCTTTTATGAAAAATGTTTGGGAGCACTAATTAGTACTCCCACTAATTAGGTGGCAGTGAGTCTCGCCATTAATGATGTGATGTTTTGGTCTTGGAGTTGTATTTTATTTTTATTTTTTTTACTATTTTAATGCATTAGTGCTATTAGTGGTGATGTTTTTAGTGGGATGAATCATTGTTGTTCTTTTATTTGTTTATATGCTTACACCTTTTTATATAAAAAATGTTATATATAAGTTTAATGAATAACCTTACAACTAACTAGGTATATGATGTTAGATAATATTTCAATGGGACCACATAACTAAATGTGGTGTTATCATTTATAAGAAGCCTACAATTTAAGTGATTCAATTTAGTTAAATTCTGTCACGCCCCCAAACCGCCCCTAGTAGCTTGGTGCCGTGATGGCCAGTAACCCGAGGTTACCGAAGGTCGTCTTACAAAAATCACACACAATCAGAGTATAAAATCTGGGGCTTACAATTTCTATTTCTATGAGGGGCAGAAATAGAAATTAAAACATATTGGTTAAAGTTGGTTTTCATTCCTTTTGAACTTTCACAACCTTTCAGTTTTGAAAACCAATTACAACCTTTAAAAGGTTATGGTCCCTATTCCTTCCCAAGTGGAAAAGAACACTGCCATTTTTCTTTCTAAATCCTCTCAAGGAGAAACATAAGGCACCAAAGGGGAAAGGATTATAAAGCAATAACATAATCAATAACAAAGAGTTCATTGATAATCACGCTTCCGTTTAACCGTTCATCAATGGATTCAGGTATGTCATTTTGTCTTGATTTCTTGATAATACATGTACGGGGAGCAAATATTCCGGCGTGCCCGTATTCCTTTCTTCCAAGCTCCGATGAATATAATTTAGACAATAAACCTAATAAATACAATATATATAAATATAAAAATATATAAATAAAAAGAATATATGAACCCCATGTATCTAATATATGCAATGTAACTATGACATTAATTTTAGCACACGAAAAAGAGAAGATGCCTTTTGTTACTTGTTATTTGTCACAGGTTGAGTCACATGTCCTCTAGTTTTCCAGGCAAAGGGCTTCTTGTCCATGTGTACTGGGATGTTTGCATTGATCCAACAAATTCATCAAAATGAAATGAGCAGCAGAGAAGCAAAGCGGTGCACAAGTTGGGTTGAGTTGAATTGAATGGTAACTTATTTAAATTTGATTTAAAAATTTATCATGTATTAAAATATATTTAGGATTGGTCTTTTCACATAATAAGCTAATCTCGAACAATTTTTAATAAATCGAGTTCGAGTAACTTAGTTCGTTTAATAGTTTTAAAAGTAGAATGGTAAATTATTTAAATTTTATTTGAAAATTTAATAAGTATTAAAATATGTTCAAGATTAAAATTTTTACATAACAAGTCAATCTTGAACAAGTTTTTAACAAGTCAACACTACGCCAAAACAGGGCATTAACGGCCGTTTTTTTAACGACGGTAACGAAAACCGCCGTTAAAGGTACTATTAACGGCGGTAACGAAAATCGCCGTTAATACCGCCGTTAATGATACATTAACGGCGGTTTCGTTACCGCCGTTAAAAAACCGCCACTAAAAGTGTTAATAAATTTACTTGGTGTACACAAAATTTTGAAAACAAATGTAAGTAAAAATGGAAAAAATGTTTAGTGAGTTACTAAAGGGAATAATTCTAAGGGGTTAGTTTGGCAGTCAAAACCAAGAGTCTAGAGATGTACTCCTTTCAAGATATCAGATCCAATATTTTCTATGTGCAAATAATTTTTTAAGTCAATGCCAGTTTTTATGAAGTGTTGGTGAAAATATCAAAAAAATTATATTTTATTAATAAATAATGTAAAAAAAATGAGATATAAATAGATCAAGTTGATGCACAGATATCTCATTTTCTTTAAGGAGATCAAACCCACTGCGGTAGGAAGAACCAAAATACTGATACAGCAGTCACTAAACTATGACTTGTCCCCTCCAAGATACAACAGCCCGACCACTTGTCATATGGTTCAGGCCAACTCTGC